AGGGGTCCAGGCAGATCATTTGGGGGCTGCTGCCGAGATGCAGGAGAACAATGAGCATGACCTGGTGGTTGCAGAAGCTACGTGGAGAGAATTCTTTATTCAAAACAGCCCCCAAAGAGTAGTAAGTCAAGACAAGGCTGCTTGGCAGGTGATCAGTGAGGGGGAGAAAGCGTCTGGTCTCTGGGCCCTGGACAAGGCACGCAGCGTGGAGAGACGAACAGCCCACGTCACGCCCAAGCCCCCACTGTTCCCCATCTTCCATCCAAGGAGGAAGGCTCCACACAGGGACAAGAGTCTGGGCTGGTGGCACGGTCGCTTGTCCTGTGCACAAAAAGGGAAGTGGCCTGGTAAAAAATGAGCCGGCAATGGGCTCCAAGGGAGTGACGGTGAGAATTTTCATCTGGGGCCAAATTGGTTTTGATGGAGGGTGGCTCATTCATGGGGAGATTAGGAGGAGATGGGCTTGAACATGAACTTGAGTTATGTGCGGCCAATGGGGAAGTCCCACTTGGTTCTTAGGGAAAGAGCAGCCCAGGCGGAAGAAAGGCAAGGAGCCCACACCCCGGGGTTGGTGCTGCGGTTGCTGTTGTTCATGCCATTCAGGTGGTGCCAGTCCGTGGCATCCCCGTGTGCTGCAGAACCAAGCACCGCCCACTTCCACGCCAGCCTCGCCATCGGTTTCACATCTGAGCCCATTGTTACCGTCACTGGGGCCACCATCTCATCAAGGGCCCTCCTCTTTTTGGATGCCCCGCTACTTTACCAGGCATGACGTCCTCCTCCAGGGCCTGGGCCTCCTTCGAGCAATGCCAAAGTGTGTGAGACAAGTCTCACCACGCTTGCCTCTCAGGAGTGTCTGCGCGGTACGTCTGACAAGACAGAGTGTTTGTGCTTTTGGTGCTCGGTGGGGGGGACTCTCAGTCTTCTCCACCAGCCCCAAATGTAAATGTACCTCTTCTTCTTTGCACACCATACTCAGAAACCAAACTCACTCTCACCGAGTCGATGTTGATGCACAGTGACCCTTTAAGGACAGGGTAGAACTGCCCTGTGGGTTCCCAAGACGAACTCTGGACAGGAATAGAAAGCCCGGACTTTCTCTTGAGGTAGTTTTGAACTGCTGACCTTGCAGTTAGCAGCCCAACAACCACTACCCCAGGACTCCACCATATACCACCGGGGTCTCCAAACCCCATTGGGTTTGTCCCTTGCCCCTTTGCTATGGGACCAATGAGGCTGAGTTTGCTTTGGTGGAAAGAGACTGGATTTGGGAATCAAGCAGTCTCATGAAAATCTCAAAAGCTGGAAACTGGTTTCCTTGTTTACAAATCAGAAAATGAGACTCTGAGAGGGTGTATTGTTTTCCCAAGGCCAGCTCTGACGGGCACCTCCTCTATGCCAAAGAGAGGGCAGCAGCAAGTGTAAGCGGGGCAGTGAAACATCAGAACCGCTCCAGGGATCGAGCCAGAGAAGGGGGTTGTTAAGGAGGGTCCGTGGTGGAAATGTGTTACGAATAGTGCAGGGAGCCTATCAATTACTCACTGTGTCCCACGTGCCCGGCATATGCGGGAGCTAGATGGCTCCAGAACCGGGGTGACCACTTTGCAGACCGGAAAACAGAGCCTGAAGAAATGAAGTGACTTGCCCCAGATCGTGATATTAGTCGATGGCAAAAGAAGACTTCACATATCTCCCCCCAGGCCAAAGCTTCCTAAGTAGGCATTCCTGATTTTCTCCACTCTGCTGTTGCCAGGGGCCATCCGTTCAGTTCTGATGTATGGCCACCTGTGCGTGACCCAACGACACACCGCCAGGTCCCATGTCCACCTCGCAATTGTTATGTAAGAGCCCAACAATACAGCCCCTGTGGCAATCCCTCACCTTGACGTTCTTCCTTTCCCCCTGATGCCTTCTACTTTACCACGCATGCTCTCCTTTGACAGGGACTGCTCTCTCCTGACAACATGTCCAAAGGACATGAGACGAGGTCTCACCGTGCTCACTTTTAAGGGGCATTCTGTCTGCAAAGACAAGTTTGCTTGTTCTTTTGGCCATCCGTGATACTTTGAGTATTTTTCACCAGCACCAATACTTCAAATGCATTGATTTTTCTTCAGTCCTCCCTATTCAATGTCTAACTTTCACTTGCATACAGAGCGAGTGAAAATACCATGACTTGGGGCATGAGCATCTTGGTCCTCTAAGGGACATCCTTGCTCTTAAAGACGATTAAGAGGTGCTGAGCACCAGACTTACCTAATGCAGTGCACCCTTTGATTTCTTCACTCAGCTCTGATTGTGGATCCAAGCAAGCTAAAATCTTTAACAACGTCGATCTTTTCTCTGTTTATCATTATGTTACTTATTGGTCCAGTTGTGAGGGTTTTTGTTTCCTTTACGTTTGGATTGAGTGGCAATCTATACTGAGGGCGACAGTCCTTGATCTTCAACAGCAAGTGCTTCAAGCCCACCCCACTTCCAGCAAGTAAGGTTGTGTCATCTGCATATCACAGGTTGTTAATAAACCTTCCTCCGACCCTGGTGCCATGTTCTTCAGAGAGGTCAACTTCTTGGATTATTGCTCAGCATACAGATTAAATACACATGGTGGAAACACAGTTTTTTCTGATTTTTAAGCTATGCAGTATTCTCCTGTTCTGTTCAAACAACTACTTATTGACCCATACACCGGTTTCACACGAGCACAATGAAGTGTTCTGGAATTCCTATTCTTCTCAAAGCTATCTATAGTTTGTTATGATCAACACAGTCGCATTGCTTTGACTAGTCAATAAAACACATGTACACATCTTTCTGGTATTCTCTGCTGTAATTCAAGATCCATCTGAAACCAGCAATGGTTCTTGTTCCACGTCCTGCTCCCTGCATGTGCTCAGGCTGCGATGATGAGCCTGGTGCTGGACTTCCTCCAGTGTGGTTTGTAAATGACACACTTGTAAACAGAGGGACTAGTCCCCGGAAAAGGTTGCCATGCTTGGTAAAGTAGAGGGGCAGTGAAAAAGGAAGGCCTTCGAGGAAATGGACTGACACAGTGGCTGCAATGAAGGGCTCAGGCGGACGAACAATTGTGAAGATGGTGCAGGACCGGGCAGTGTTCTGTCCTGTTGTACACAGGATCCCGATGAGTGAGAGCCCACTTGCCAGCACCCACCAATAATAACAATACGACTCGGTAAAGGTTCCCGGGTGATTAAACCGAGCCTGGGCAGTCTTATGGGTTAGGGGTTGGGCTGCTGACCACGAGGTCAATGGCTGAAACCCACTCACTATCCCCTCCATGGGGAGCAAAGGCTATCTGCTCCCATATAGATTTTCCATCTCAGAAACCCTGTTTAGGGGTCACTATAGATGGGAATGGATTGAATGGCCATGGGTTTGGCTTTGGTTGGTGTGTGGCTGAGCACTTGACCACTAACAAAAAGATTGGTATTTCAACAACAACACCCATACCCCTGCCAAGGAACCGCAGAAGAAAGGCCTGGTGATCTGCCTCTAAAAGGAACACAGTTCCACTTCACATCCATGGGATTGCCAGCAGTCAAAATCAAGCCAATGGTAAATGGTCTAAACCGGTTATATGATTAGAAAGACTTATAATGTAACATTGGGTCTAGCAGATAGTCAATGTTCAATGAATGGAAGCGATGCTGTCTTCTTCTTATTTTCATTTTAGGGATGAGAAGGCATGTGAGACTTGATGCATGTCTTTATACACTAAAGCCAGCAAGGGCTGAAGTCTGGATTCAAGGCCAGATATAGAAAATGCCAAAGTTCACTCATGCCTCTTCCATTTGAACCGAAGATAAGAGATGGGAATTTCAGGCGAGTAGAAGATGTGAGGATGATTAGCATCAGGAAGTGCAGTGACTTCAGATGTTAGCTACCAAGGTGGAGGATGAGTGAATGTCAAGATGGGCTCGCTCAACTTCAGTTTAACGTTGCACACGGGGCCCCTGCCACATGCTAGGCTCTGTGCCTGACAGAGCTAAGCCTTGGCCCAGGCACTGTTTACACCTGTCCGACTGGCAGGGATGATAACACCCGCGTGTACTTTGCCCTCATCTCGCCGACCCAACCTTCAGTCACTTAGACGGTGGGTTACGCGTTACCATGGAGACGACTGCAAACTAAGGACCTGCTATAGCATGTGTCATCCAGGACACGAAGGCTGCACTCACACAGCAGCCTGGTGTGCTGGTTCTGTTATTACGGCCACTGCTTGGAAGAGGCTGCCAAGACTCTGTCAGAGTTCACTTGACCTGTCCAAGATTACACAAGATACGGCAGACAAGGATTTCAACCCACATCAGTCTGACTCCAAGGACTCTTACCTCCTGTTGCTGGGTCAGGTCATTGACTCCTGGAGGGCATGGAGGGTCGCTGTCAGTTAACCACGACTTGAGGGCGCCCAGGCCCTGGTGGTCGACAACAAGCCAGGGCAGGTGGAGGGTCTAGACAAGGATCCATCAGAGGGATTGTCCTAAAATGGAACCAAAGAGAAGGGGTGGGAAAGACACGGATCTGGAGACACAAAAATGAGCCTGTCTCCACCCTTTGCCCAGAGAACGACTCGTGGACTGGCATTGGCTGCAGTCCACCCTCGACTTTTGACTAGCTCTGTGACCTGGGGACGCTGCCTCCCCTCTTGATGGTCACTTTCCCTGTCTGAGGCCATCATAGCACCATTCTCCTTTGAGGGTCATCTGGAGGGGTGAATGGAAGCGGTGTGTGAACGAGTCCCTCCCACAGAGCCCAGCACATGGCAGGGCTTGTTACTGGCAGATCCCAGTCTGCTCTGGGTCGCCATGTCCTCCTCATCACCAACCCCCTCCCTGGGAAACAGCTTTGGCCTTGTCAACCAGCTGTCAACCCCACCCCAGCTGTCCAGTTAATGAGTGACCAGAGTTCTGGAACCTGGTCTATAAGGAGAGCAGGTGGGAGCCAGGTGGATGGGAGTGGTAGGAACACAGAGAAGCAACATGGGCAGCCGGACCGGGTCCCAGCTGCTGACAGGAGCAGCTGTGGTCCTCCTGGTGCTGCTGCAGGGCACACAGGCAGTCTACATCAAGGTAAGTTGCTTGTACCAGCCTACACTTTGCCGGGGGGTCCCCAAAGTAAGGACACTTGACTCAAGAGGGGATAAGAGGGGATGCTGGGAAATTCATGGGGATCGGGGGGTGTACATGGTTCAGTGCTCAGCCCAACACTCAATTGCTCCCCAAGAATAAAGGCAGGTGGTGGCTGGTGGCAGCTGGAAGGTTAAGAGCCATGACGAGGGTGATGGCAATAATAAGCTGCTGTTGACTGAGCACCACTCTCCATCAAGGTCGGCCTCATCACAGAGGTCAGGGTGACTAGGAGCCAGAGGAGGGCCCTGCCCTTGATGAGCCAGGCAGGGAGGAAGTCTCCTTGAATGGTCCAACAGCTCAGCCAGGTGGAGGTGGGGGAGTTGCTGCAGGCAGTTACCATGGGGCCTTGGTAACTGCGCTGCTTTTTTTCTCCCTGTGGATGAGCAGGAGGGAGCCAGAGACAGGGGATGGGAAGACAGTCTTAGGAGTCAAGGAAGCAGACATTTATGGCCCTGGGGAGGCTCCCACCAAGGACTGGGTTTGGGGAAGGTTGTCTCATCCTTCACTTGGGCAGTCCTCCAGGGAAGGAGAGGCAAGGGCCGGAAGGGGGAACGGGGGAGTAGGGAAAGGTCCCGGAGAGTCAGCTTTGCACGAACCCTGGGCCTGGGCCTTAGTGACCTGGGGGCATCATCTTGTTGTCATGGCCTGCCTGGCACTGCAGGAGCTTCTCTGAGCCTCCTGACACCAAACGAAGTGTGATGATCTTCGTTTGTCAGATGAGGGATCTGAGGTTCAGGGTGGACAAGACACCGCAGCCACTCAGGACAGAGCAGGAATTGGAATCAGGGTCCAACTGTCTCTAAAGTGTGCATCAAACCACAGAGGCCCACAGTCCAGTCCTGATTTTATCCAGTGGCTGCCAGGGCCTCTGGCATTGCGACATGTGTCTGGGGGGTGAAATCAGATGTCAGCACCCCGATACCCAGGCAGGTCATTCGATATGGTCCAGCTTTTCCAGGAAAACAGGGAAGAGAGCAGAGAATGTGGGCCCCCAGGAATCCTGAGTCTCCTGATGGGGCCTCCTCCAGGCCCAGGGCTGCATAGGCTCCCATCTCTTCCCCGCCCCCCTCTCCACAACCTAGTACCAAGGCTTCCAGGTGCAGCTAGAATCCGTGAAGAAGATGAGAGATTTGGAGCGGCAGCAGGCACCCAGCGACCGCCTGCATGTAAAGAGCCTCCTGCCCTCCGTGTGCCAACACCCAGCTTTGCCTGGGGATCTCCAGCCTATCTGCACCTCCACGGACGCGGCCAGGATCTTCGCGGCCTTGAGTGAGTTGTCCCCTGGCCCGGTTGGCTGCTCTACCTGGCCCTAGGGGGGACCCTCCAGTGTCTTCTCCCAATTCTTGCTCAACCCGCCTCCTCCACCTCATGTCATTGCTACTGGGTACCCCGAGGCTGAGGTCCCAGGACGTCAAAAGACCAGCTCCTGTCTTCTCCAGCACCTCCTTGCCCTTTGCACCGGGGGCCCAATGGGCTGGTCAGCCTAAGTCGAGGACCTCATTAATGGGACTAACAGGGTACAGGGACAGGTCAATAAACAAAGGACAGGTGGCATGTCTGTTGGAGGGATAGACTCTGGAAAGGCTTCCAAGAGGCAGTGCCACCCAAGCCGGGCATGAGGGAGGGGCGGACCGTGACAGTCACAGCTTGCTTTTCTCCCCCGACCCAGAGACCATTGCTAGTGATGACTGTGAGCTCTGTGTGAATGTGGCCTGCACGGGCTGCTTCTGACCATGTCTGCGGTGCTCGGGCCCCACTGGGCACTGACTCCCACCTCACAGGAGCACAGTGAGGATCACCAGCCACCGTCGTCATCTCCAACCTCCCACGGCCGAGGAAGCGGGGCCTGATACAACGTCATTGGACATACGGGCTGAGGAAAGTGTGGCCCCGGAGGCAGCCCTCCTGCTGAATAAAGCTTGCCGTTCACAAAGCCAGGTGCTCACTTGTTCATCTGGGGATCCAGAGCTGCCCGAGTGTCCAAGTAGGATGAGGACACTTGCCATTCATGTCCCTGTAGCCTCCACAGCCTGCGGAGTGGGTTCATTTCACGTTTCACATAGGAAGGAGACCAGAGTCCCAGCAGGGCTGTGAATCACCCCAGGTCACCCAACTAAGAAATCTAAAAGCTTCCATGACCCAGTTGACCTCCGATCAGACCTCGAGCCCAGTGCCAGTGGCAAAGTCAGAGCTTCTGTCTCCTGACCCAACTCAGCCAGGCTTCTTGGAGGAGGCAGAGAGGACGGACGGGCTGGAGCGAGAATCACAGGGCCCCTGCCCTCCCCAGGCAGACCAGGGCTGACCCTGTCCAAAATTCTGATGACGAAAACAGTGCCTTTCCGTTCCCCCTCACATCCGTGAGCCTCTGCCTCCTCAATGCCCAGGGGAGCCACCATCGCCCACCCACTCCAGCTCCCTCCTAATGACAGCTCTTGTGCTCCTCTCTCAGCCCAGCCCTGGGTGTGCCCTAAGGGATCGTGATCGTGATCGTGACCATGAGAGCACCAGCACTTCCTGAGGAGCTGCTCCGGCCTCACATTGCTCTAGACACTTTGCACATGTCAGTGGATTAAGTGCTCACCCCAGCCAGCATGCCACTGCCTCTCTGCCCATCATAAAGCTGGCTGGCTGGTTCACTTCCTGGGGATCGGGTTGGCGTCTGGAAGCACCCAGCCGCTCAGGTGGTGGCAGGGCTGGGTCTCAGTCTCGCCTCACCCTTTCCATCCTGGAGCAGGGTAGGCTGAGCGGGTGGGGGTGCAGGGTTCTCGGGACGAGAGAGGTGGGGCTCATGAGAACTATGGAAGTTCTCTGGAGCCAGAGCGTGGTTATCCCCTTACCAAGCCCGGGAGAGGCCCAACGGTCCTGCTTCTTTGACTGGCTTCCCTGTGGACCCAAACCTGGAGGGGCAGGAACTGCTCAAAGCAGCCAACCAGAGCACAGCTTCTAACCAGAAAGTTCTAGAATGCTTGAGGACTGAGGACTCAGCACCAAGACCCCAGCAGTGAGAGTACAGACCATGCTGACTTGGGTTGCTGGCACCCAGTGCAACGATAACTCATGGACACACACCCCACCCCACCACCACCACCACCATGAGTGAGGTCAGCCAGTAAACCCTTTCTCCCAGCCCACCCCACAACAAGACACAGGCTCGTTCCTCCTGGTTCCACCCATCAAAATTCTCGGTGGCTCCTCCCCTGGCCCAATGGTGAGGAGAGAGACCGTGCACCCAAGGGTGAGCACCATGGTCCACCCTCTGGTAACCTGGCTGGCAGATCCCAGGGGGGGCATGCTAGAGTGGGTTGTAGGGTTGGCAGGGGTGGGGGGAGTGACACATTACCAGCCCTCGTGCCACCACTGCTTTGGCAGCCCCTTCTCCTGCATCATGGCTGCCCGTAGCTGCTGCTGCTGCCCCTAGCATGGGCACTGGGGTCATTGAGAGTCGCCCTCTCTAACAGGGTCAGAGGGCACAGTCCTCACTCCCTAGGTCCGCTAGTGATACCCAAGGAGCTCCCCACCTCAACCAGCACACTGGAGCAGAACCCTCTTCTAAACCCTACCAATCAGAACACATCTCTCTTTGGGTATCACCAATTAGACCAACTTCCCAAATCCCAGCCATCAAGACAGGAGACTATGGTTCTGACGCAGCCTCGAGGGGAAACGTCAGGGTAGTCAACGAGAATGGAATGCAGCAGGCCAGGGAAGACCCTGTAGCACATGTCTTCCGTGACCAAACCCAGCGCTTCTGAAGCTTGTGAGCATCTTCACTGGCTCTGAAGGAGGGGGCCATCTTCATTGGTCCTGAGCCTGACTCCAGGCCACAGCTCCATCCTGTGCTTTCCGCACCTTGGGTCCCTCTCGACCCTAGTGACCCTCAAGCAGTGTTCCTGACCTATGGGAGCAAGACACTCACCTGAGAGGTAACACCAGATGGTCAGAGTTCAGGCCTTAGAGCCAGGCCCTAGGCCTGAGCCTGGATTTGCTCTGTGACCTGGGAAAGGCTATGCCACTCACAGGAGCCTAGGTCTGTGTGTGCACTCTGTGGAAGATGGCGAAAATGGCCTTGGTCAACACAGTGGTTCCTGAGAGCGCCAGGGCGGCTCTTAGCATGCAAGTGCCTCTGGTGTGACCCCCCACCCCCACCAGGCTGAGCTCCATCATTCCGTCTGAGACTGGTGCCATCAGAGGAACCCTTCCCTGATGGTGTCCACTGGCCTGGGGGTCTGGCCAATAGCAAGAATGGGTGTCAAAACCACAGGTGATGTAGTAGCCTAGCCCCAAGTCACCCCTGAAAAGGTTTGGTTCAGATTCTGAATTAGCAAAAAGAGAGAGGTCATAAGCGCCAGGCAGATCAGAAGAACCAAAACTCACTGCCATCGAATCGATGTCGACTTGTAGTGACCTCATATGACAGGGTAGAACTGCCCCCTGGGAGATTTTGAGATTTCTACTCACTTTACAGGAGTAGAAAGCCCCACCTTTCTCCCGAGGAACAGCTGGTATGGAACTGCTGGCCTTTCAGATCACAGTCAACGGAGTAGCCACTATGTGCCCAGAGCAGATCAGAATAATGACTTTCAATAAGGAGAAACTTAGCATACAAAGGGCAGCTTTGAATCGCAGTGAGGAATCAATTGCTAATCAATAGGTTAGCGTACTCAAGAACACTCGGGACTTTGGGGTGGATTACAAAGAGGAGAATCAATGGGACGTGGCGCTGCAGGGGAGGGAGAGGAAGTACCACCTGGAGACCAGCCACTGGGGAACTCATCTGAGGGACTTTATTTTGCCCATTGACTGCTGGGTTTGCCCTGAAAAGCAGGGCTGTCAGCTTCAGTGGGGGAAGAGGAGAAAGAGGGACATGGTTGGCGTCCTTGAACTATGATATGAGGTGCTCAATCCCAGACTCCTTCGTGTGCAGAATCCATTTTAGTTATGTCTCAGCCAACAGGGCCCAGTTGTTGCTGAGAAGCAATAACAGGCTCCAGGGGTCTGACTCTGGCAGACAACTTGACCCCTGCTGGTGCCAGATTGGCCCAACACTATCATCCCTCGATGCATTTGAATTATGGTGTTGGCAAATACAGTGACTATCCCATGGGCTTCCAGAGGAATGAGCAAGCACATCTGTCTTGAGGAAGTACCATCAGAATACTCCTTAGAAGCAAGGATCGAGAGAGAGAGAGACTTTATCTCATAGACACTAGACATGTTATCAGAAGGCACCTGGCCCTGGAGAAAGGCATCGTGCTTGGCAAAGTAGAGGATCGGCAAAAGCATGCAAGTCCCGCGATGAGAAGGATTGGCACAGTGGCTGCAGCAGTGGTCTCAGACTTAACAACCATTGTGAGGACGATGCAGGTCTAGGTAGCGTTTCATTTTGTTGTACACCGGGTTGCCACGAGTCAGAACTGACGATGGCTCCTAATAACAACCTCAGCGCATTCACCAGCCACACAGGAGCCTGCAGAGGAGGGGATTACAAAGGGCTTTGGTTGGTTCTCAGGAAACATTTGGTTCACCTGCTTGCCCAAGCCTGTCCTCACCTGGTGTGTGTGTGTGTGTGTGTGTGTGTGTGTGTGGTGTGTGTGTACCCTAAGATCTACGCGTATAGTCCATCCAGGCACTTGGTAGCCTCTGCTAGCTAAGTACAGGATGGGCATGAGCACTAGACAAAGGTCAAGGACAGGAATATGGTGGTGGTAGGGAGGGGGACACTAGGAACATGACAGGGCTACATTAGGAATGAGAACATGACTCTGGGTGGACTTGGGATGAAAGATCTGAGCGAGGTATAATTCACTGCGAATTGGGGTAGAGACGCACTCCCACTGAGGATCAGCCGGCAACTGCGGTTGCCGCCCAGATTAGATTTGTGGTTTGACCTGGGTGGAGTTGGGATCAAGATGAAAATGGGATTCAGATCGTCGTTAATGTATGAGAAAGACTTGGGATTACATTGGATTACTTGGAGGTAGCAGTTCGGGATGGCATTTCAAGTGCAGATTCAAGAGCGTTTTGAGTTAGGGTTGGAATTGGAATGGAGTTGAGGTTGAATGTGGCTCGGCGTAGCGTCAGGTTTTAAAATGGAGTAAGATTAAGGCTGTGTTAACATGGTCTTATGATGGAGGAGGGCCTAGCGCACCCAGGGAGGAGGAAGTAAGTAGCCTGCAATGCGGATGATGACGACAATGATAAACTGTTGTTTACTAAGCTCTGTGCTTCCCCAGGGCTTTTTGTGTCCTCGAGGTGGGTGCGTAACAAGATAAGGGCCCTGTCCTTGCTGAGGCCTTGGAGAGTTTACCTCTTCCTGTGCTCCCATCATTCTTGGTATTCGTGCAGTTCAGCTGGGTGTGGGGTATTGCTAAGTGGCGCTGAGCCAATTCCAACCCATAGCAACCCTACGGATGCAGAATAAAACAGGAGCTCTGTGTACAATAGAACAAAACGCAGTTGATCCTGCATCATTCACATATTGTTACGTTTGAACCCATCGTGGCAACCATGTGTCCGACCATCTTGTTGACGGTCTTCCTCATCTTCATTTACCAAGCATGATGTCCTTCTCCAGGGACTGGTCCCTCCAGATGACATGTCCAAAGCATGTCCTTGCCACCCTCCGTTCTAAGGAGCATTCTGGCTGTACTTTCTATAAACAGATTTATTTATTCTCTGGCAGTACTTTCACTATTCCATGCCGATGCCATAATTCGAATGCATCATTTTTG